CTCAAGAGTGTTAACTCTCCAAATCTGCAGTCATTGTGCTCTTAAGATTCAGTTACTTGTATTGATATCTCATTATCTGTTGAACTATGTGGGATATTATTTACATGTGGTATTTTCTAATGGGAAAAGTAATGATAGTGATTTGCATCTTAACATAATTATGTGTGAATTAGTAATGGTACAGTGTGGCTTTAATCCCATGAATCTGATCGTTGGCTTTTGATTTCCAACTTGCATATTGTAGTTTTCCAAGGTGACTGCTGAACTGTCCCCAAGGTGACATGTTTGGCAATAGAATATCGTAATCGAGCCAGTCCTCTGAGGCAGTATTGGTAGTCCGGTTCCTGAGCCAGGAGAGTCTGCAGTATTCTAGGGCACCGTTGATGACAGCACAGCCCAGCCTGGCTCATTGGCAGGACCTGGAAGGGCAGACCAGTCACTTGGAGCAGGGAATGCTCCCATTCAGCTCCTGTTAACCCTGCCAGCCAAAGTACTTACGGGTAGACTGGTCCGAGCTGGACAAGTAATGGGAAAACTTGTCAGAGATCCAGTGATGGGTTGGCTGTTCAGTCAACACCCCCCACACCCACCCTCTAGGACTCCCATACAGCTGTGTGAAGTGCTTTGAGACGTCCTCCCGACGTGAAAGCGCTATATTAAGAGTAACAGTAAACTGTAATTGTATGCAGGAAACCATGGACATGCAGCCAATATAATCCTGATGTTGGTTCTCCTCTTACCCGCTCAGCATTTCTACTTATACCAAAGGTTTCAAAACTGTAACCAACAGAAAATAAATACAATTTTTAATTATAATTCCTGGAATGAAGGGTACTTTAATACTTACAGAACTATGATGGGAGAGATTAATATTCTCTATTCGTGGCTATGTGATCACTGAGCCGGAAGTGCACAAAGCAGATTTTGTCTTCTGTTACTGTCTCAAACATTTCTCATTCTTACAGTTCATCATGGAGCAAGTTGCTATTTTTATTATTTCTGTGACTTAACACTGGCTTAAAAAAGGCTTTATAAACATGGATCGAAAGTAATAATAATGATCCTTACATTTTATATAGCGTCTTATCACGTCTTTGAGACGTCTCAAAGCGCTTCACAGGATATACTGTAAAATGTAGTGACTGTGTATTTTGTGGGCGAAAGTGATCTGCATTTAGAACTCCCTATTTTCCCAACCACAATAAATAGCAAATTACATTTTGAAAGTGTCGGAGACGTCGGGAGGATGTCATTTTCTCAGAAGAATCAGTCAGGGTTTTGCTCCTGTTAATCTCCTGCTGATAGGAATTTCAGCCCTTGATAGCCGTTCGGTGAGCAATTGCACATGTGTGATTCTTTCAAGATTTGATAGATTTCTGTTAGGAACTAATATCTGGGGATACAGTATATAGTTTGCGACATGTCATGTGCAAGCGACTGCCAGGATGGTGAAAGGCGAACTGGTGGACCTTGATCTTCTTTCACCAGCAAATTCTTATGTCTATCAGGTGAATGAGAACAGAAACAGGCTCACTTGTTATTACCTCATGGCAACTCAATGGGGCTCACTGTCTACACTCACAAATGAACTTGCATGAAATTACTGGGACGCTGCCACCAGCCACTCAACGCAGATGTATGTTGCTTTGCACTGACCCAAGCCTTTGCGACAGTTCAGCATTTATCTATTACACTGCATGTCTGTTGCCGGTGTAAATACACTGAAGTATCAGATGGCAGTGTGTAATGCCACTGAAACACATGGCTTTGATAAAAAGTAACCTTGAATGCTAGATCAGTGGTTTTTCAATGCAGTGACATACACTCACATTACAATGCAGGTTGTCCCACTTTCCCTGCAAGTACAGGCATGGATGGAACTGCGATGATGCCAAATATTATAATAATTATAATAACAATCCTTGCATTTGATGTAGCACCTTGAAAGAATCACACCAAATTATTATTATTTTTTGGAGGGATTATTATCCCCGGAACAGCGATCCACCAATTGACTAACAACCGGGTTCCTTCTCACTTCTTACTGCTAGGTGAACATAGGCGCCTGGAGTAAGGAAACTTGCCTAACGTTTTGCTCTACCAGGGAATTGAACCCGAGTCTTCTTGCTTGCAAGGCAAGTGCTCTTAGCACTGAGCTACAGGACTCCACCGTAAGTGCAGAGTCAAAGCTGGAAAGTAACGGACATTTTGTCGGTGTGATGGTCATAAAGTTAATCTCCAATTGGGTGCTTGGCTTCTCACTCTCTCACACACACTGCCTAAACCCAGCATCGGGTTACAGTCTCAACAAGTGCCGCATAACCGGTAGCAGAAATTCACAATGGGCTGTAAATACATACTCAATAAACCAGCGCACACACATGCGCTCAGATTACAATGTTAAACAGCCAAAATAAACCAGCACTGTCATCACAATGTAGACCGCTGTGTTAAACTGAAGAGGATTCAAGGTCAATGGCTTATATATCCGAGGCCTGAAATCCCATTTAGTTTTAGCTCGTCAGACCATTTTGTCTTAAACTTGCGCAAAGCAGTAATGTTTGAGCCTGGGTCTCAGATGTGGAAAGATTCAATGACGCAGTCCTGGGGCGAGTTTTTTTATCCATCTGACTGAATTTCACTTGACACCTCTGACTCAGTTTCACATTTGATAAAACCTTTTTTTTCTTAGCGAGTGTTGAGCCACACAGATTAAAAAAAACATATCCTCTCCTTAGTGACCCTGATGATCACTCTTCCAGGCATGAATACTTCTAATCGCTACCAGTAGACAATGCAAATCTAAAATTAATGGAATGACCTGAAGGAAGGTAAGTGAAATATCTTTTGAGGGGGGAATTGGTAGCTGTTTACTGATGATGATATGCCCTAACCACCCACAGGCAGCAGATTGTCATTATCACTGTGCCTGAAGAGATAAAATGGTTTCCTTTCCCCAATAGCACGCAAATAATCTTTGCACACAATATTAATATCATTAACTCAACACTTTACAATGTCTGGTTTGAAGCAGGGACACACTGAGATACAACGCACGTAACACAGGTTCAGGAAGAATAAACACAAGCAGCACATTCACTTGTATATAAATACTAATTTGGTTACTCAATCCATGGCTGTTTGTGGGGTCACTGTTGTGCGCAATTGGCTGCCGTGTTTCGCCCACAAGATACACAGTCAATTCATTTTACAGTATACTCTGTGAAGCGCTTTGAGACGTCCCAAAGATGTGATAAGGCGCTGTACCAAATGCATGGATTATTATTATTATCCAGACCACACTTCTGCCTGATGACTGCTTTCTCATACAGACCAGCAAATTAAGCCAGTGCTCACAGAGGTTCATTCGGTTCATTCGGTTCATGGAACTCCAGGAGTGCGAGAGCTGGGGCGATCAGTTCTGAGAATGTGATGAATGACTTGATAAACCCTCTCATCTGTGCTTGTGAGTGTGCTCTATGTCGTCGGATGGAGGGACATTCACTCCAATGCGTTTATCAGGCAGAGGTTTTCCCATGACTCCGTACAGCTTGCTAGGGTAAACATCCTGTCGCTTTCAGGAGCCACGCCAAACAGCCCCGTGGATCACATCGCATCCCAGGATTACTTCTGCACAACAGTAGCTTTACAAGCTCCACATGAAAAAAGGCAACCCCACTCAGTTTGTACAGTACTCCCTTTTATTACAGCTTCCCCTTCTATCACCCACAACCCCTCAGGAAATCACCTTTTACCAGCCTCCCCAAATCATCAAATAATCCTCATATTTAATATGGCGCCTTATCACATCGCTGAGATGTCTCAAAGTCCTTTACAGAATATACTGTAAAGTGAAATGACTGTGCATTTTGTGTGGGCGAAACGCAGCAACCAAGTGCATACAGCAGTATCCCACAGATATAATAAATAATAATAATCCTTGAATTTGATATAGCGCTTTTCACGTCTTCTCGACGTCTCAAAGCACTTCACAGAATATACTGTAAAGTGAATTGACCGTATATATTTGTGGGCGAAACGCAGCAGCCAATTGCGCACAGCAACGTCCCCACAAGCAGTCATGGATTGAAATTGACCAATTTATTATTGTTTTGTTTTGGAGGGATTATTATTAGGTTCTGTGTGGAGTAAAGAAACTTGTCCAAGGTTTCGCCCTCTGCCTGGAATTGAACCCAGGTGTCTCACTTGCAAAGCGAGTGCTCTAACCACTGAGCTACAGGACTCCACTTTATATGGTTTCAAACTTAGAAGGGACGTTAATGTCAGTGACATCTGGGGTAAGCTCTGTGTTATTATAATTCCAAATATGTTTAGTTAAATCTTATTGTTCAGCCTGCACAGATTTCATACTTCTGTGTTGCCTCATATGCTTTTGATTTTGAACTGTCCCAAACCAACTGATTATTCATAACAGAATGCAGAAGCTGCAAAGATCCCACAGTTACAAGAAGGAAACCATTAAAGCAGCAAACTATAATCATCGTAAAGCTCTGAGATACAGCGATACATAGACATAGATGTCAAGGAATGATATGTTCAAAG